GTGCCCCTATCCCGGGTCCCCCCAACCCCCATCCACCCTGGCCTTGAACACTGCCAGGGATGGGGCAGCCACAGCTCCTCAGAAATAAAATAGCAAAAATAAAGTAGCAGCTGAATACAAGGTCTCTAGAAAATTTAATCAGTTGAAAAAAAGAGGTCTGGAGATAAGACCAATATTATGGGTAATGTATTTTCTGACAACTTTCCCTTTACCAGAACCAAAATATCTACCAGAAGCATAATGCACCCTTAACAAAACTATTCCAGGCTGATTTTCTCTTTAATAACTACATGCATTAATATTATACTGCTGATGGATATAACGATTTTATTATGAACCACAGGAATTTATTAATATTCTTAGAGCAACCCAGAAGTCACACATGCAGTGGGCTAGTTCTTGCTCTGCTCCATGGCGAGGCTTGTGCCTAAAGACAGAAGGGCAGAGAAACACCTCTTCCACACAAATCACACCGATGCTTGTCATAGAATCACAGAATCAGCTAGGTTGGAAAAGACCTCCAGCATCATCATGTACAACCCATTTCCCCAGGACTGCCAAGACCACCTCTAACCCATGCCACTGAGGGCCTCATTTACACGGTTTCTGAACACTTCCAGACACGGTGATTCCATCACTTCCCTGGGCAGCCTGTTCCAATGCCTGACCACCCTCTCTGTGAAGAAATTGTTCCCAATACCCAATTCCTAACCCTCCCCTGGCGCAGCTGGAGGCCGTTCCCTCTTGTCCTACCACTTGTTACTTGGGAGAAGAGACCGACCTCACCTCACTACAACCTCCTGTCAGGTAGTTGTAAAGAGCGATAAGGTCCCCCCTGAGACTGCTCTTCTCCAGACTAAACAACCCCAGCTCCCTCAGCCGTCTCTCGTAACACTTGTGCTCACCCAACCCAAACCCCCCAAACCCGGACAGCCCCCGCACCAGCGGCAGAACATGGGAGGAGCGCCGCTGGGGCCTATGCTCCTTCCCTCATCCAAGC